GAAGCAGGCTCCAGGCCCTGAGCTGTCAGCACAGAGCCCGACACGGGGCTCAAACTCCTGAACCGTGAGATCTTGACCTGAGCTGAAGTCGGACGCCTAACCAACTCAGCCACCCGGGAGTGCTTGGATTGGTATCCTTGTTAAATGCTTGGTAGAACTCACTAGTGAAACTATCTGGCACTTGGCCTTTCTTTGTTAGGAAGTGTTTTGATGTAGTGTCAATCTATTTGTTATTCATCCATTACATTTTCTGTTTCTTTATGATTCAGCCTGGTAGGTTGTGTGTTTCTAGAAATTTATCTATTTCTTCTCGAGTATCCAATTTATTGACATGTAATCATTTATAGTAGTCTCTTACAATCCTTTGTATTTCTGTGTTATCAGTTATAGTGTCTTTTCTTTCATTTAGTCTTCTGTTTTGTTCTTAGCCTAAGGGTTTGATTTTGCTTATGCTTTCAAAAAGATTTTGTCTTTTCTGTTGTTTTTCTGGTGTCTGTTTCATTTATTTCTGCTCTTCATTATTTCCTTCCTTCTACTAACTTTGGGCTTTGTTTGTTCTTTTTCTAGTTCCTTAATATGTAAAGTGAGGTTGTTTATTTGAGATCTTTCTTTTTTCTCAATGTAGGTGCTTATCATCATACGCTTCCCTCTAAGACCGGCTTGTGCTGTGTCCTCTAGTTTTGGTGTCTTGTATTTCTGTTGTCATTCATCTCAAGCATTTTTTTGTTTTACTTGGACTTTTTCTTTGTCCATTGGCTGTTCAGGAGAGTGTTATTTAATTTCTATGTATTTGTGAATTTTCCAGTTTTCACGTGGTCAGAAAAGACACTTGATATGATTTCAGTCTCCTTAAATTCATGAAGACTTGCTTTGTGGCATCATGTATGATCTATACTGGGGAATATTTCACGTGCTCTTGAGAACAGTGTGTATTCTGTTGCTGTTTTGTATACGTCCGCTGAGTCCATTTTATTTATATTGTTGTTCAAGTCAGCTGTTTCCTTATTGATTTTATATCTGGATGATCTATCTATTGTTGAAAGTGGGATAGAGAAGTCCCTATTATTACTGTATTGTGATCTATGTCTCCCTTCAGTTCTGTTAATACCTTCAGTTCTGTTAATATTTGCCATGTGTATTCAGGTCCCCCAATGTTGGGTGCATATATACTTACAATTGCTGCATCTGCTGCATGACTTGGCCCTTTTATCATTATATAGTGTCTTCCTTCACCTCTTAAAGACAGTTTCTAAGTTGAAGTCAGTTTTGTCTGATGTAAATATAGCTACTTCTGCTCTCTTCTGGTTTCTGTTTGCATAGAGTATTCTTTTCTATCCTTCACTTTCAGCCTACATGCATCATTAAGGCTTAAAGATGCATTATTTTCGCTGAAAGAGAACATGTAGTAAAAATGGTGCACTTGGACTCGAAGTTCCTTGATGATTTTCTCTGTATTCTCTTTTCTTTGTTGGTATAAACTTAGCTTCGCTGACATTTCCAGAGGATGTTTCTAACTCTATCACTGGATGTTTCCCCAAAGTTTTGTAAATGGAGCTGTAGTTGATTATTTCACCCATTCAGCAAATATTATTTTTTTTACATTTATTTATTTTTGAGAGAGACAGAGCACAAGTGGGGGAGGGGCAGAGAGAGAAGAAGACAGAATCTGAAGTAGGCTCCAGGCTCTGAGCTGTCAGCACTGAGCCCAACACGGGGCTCAAACTCACAAACTGTGAGACTGTGACCGGAGCCAAAGTCAGACACTGAATCAACTGAGCCACACAGGCTCCCCAACCCATTCAGCAAATATTTGTTGAGCTCCTACTACATGCAAGATAATTTGTTCAAGAGGAAGCCAATAGTCACAGTTAGAATATGTGCCCAAATTAAAAAGCAGCTCTAATGCTGCCTTACTTATCTTAGCAGACTGCTCTTCCATAATTACTACTCTAATCAGTCCCTATTTTCAAGGGTTTCCCTGTGATATTCATTTATTCACTTATTTAACAACTTTTACTGCTTAAACACCTTATGTTTTTTTTTTATTTTTTAACTGTTTTATTTATTTCTAGGAGAGAGAGAGACAGTGTGAGCAGGGGAGGGTCAGAGAGAGAGGGAGACACAGAATCCGAAACAGGCTCCAGGCTCTGAGCTGGCAGTCAGCACAGAGCCCGAAGCGGGGCTCGAACCCACGAACCGCGAGATCATGACCTAAGTGAAAGTCGGACGCTTAACCGACTGAGCCACCCAGGCGCCCCAAGCACCTTATGTTCTTATTTAACAGTTTGTACTCCTTAAGCATCTTGTGTTCTTGCCACCTATGTGCCAGGGATTATTACATATTGGATAGAGCAGGCTGGGTATCTACCCTAATGTAGTGTACATTCTGGATGGAAAGAAAAATGTCAGGAAAAGTAACATATTATTATATGAGGCCTTCTGTCTGACTTCTGTGATTATATGATGATTAAAATTAGGGCGAGTGTAAGGGTGCCTGGGTGGCTCAGTCGGTTAAGTGTCTGACTCTCAATTTCTGCTCAGATCATGATCTCATGGTTTGTGAGTTTGAGCCCTACGTCAGGCTCTGCTCTTATGGTGTGGAGCCTTCTTATAATTCACTCTCTCCCTCTCTCTCTCTGCTCCATCAGCCCTCTCTCTTTCTCTCTCTCTCAAAATAAATAAACTTAAAAAAAATAAGGCGAGTATAATATGTAGAGAGAATATAGGTTGCAAGGGAGAGGGCTATGGCTTCTTATATAAATGTCTTTGATGTGATATTTAATCTTAGGGCAACTTCAAGAAAGAGACAGTGTTGGGATACACAAAAGCTAAGCGTGGAAAAAAGAAAACAGAAAACTAGACACGTGCCCTACTTTCAAGGAAGCTAGATTCAATAGACAAATCAAACCCAGATGAGTATCCTTTTTAAATTCAGATTTTTACAATGTGTCACCTGTCAAAAGTTGTTTAACAAATACTTTTCTTCAATGCTAATAGTGATGATTTTAAAAAAATGATTTTAACAGTTAGTACTCACATAAACACTAAAAGCAAAAATTAAAAGAGATGCTTGTTTTTTTCCTAATAGTCTTCATAGTAACAGTAGCTTGAACAATGACTTTTTTTAGAGAATCAGAAATTACAAGTTATTCTGGAAGTTTGCATTTACCAGTGAAAGATTTGATCTGGTATCTAGTTGATAAAAGGTATATTTCTAAGAAAGTCATCTTTATCAATTGGCCAAAATGATTATTATATTCTTCGTATTTTAAAGTATGTCTAATTGAAATTCTAAGATGATACATTTTGGTTTTACTGAGGGATGTTTGATGAAGGTCACATTAAAATATTTTGGAAAACATAAATAAAACTGTTTCACTTCTTTAAAAATGTTCTCATGCTGTTTTTGAAGTGGATATCCCAATGTCAGAAGAGAATATTATCATTATAAAAATTACACTCTTGGGGCGCCTGGGTAGCTCAGTTGGTTAAGTGTCTGACTTCAGCTCAGGTCATGATCTCACAGCTCGTGGTTTTTGAGCCCTGCATTGGGCTCTGTGCTGACACCTCAGAGCCTGGAGCCTGCTTAGGATTCTGTGTTTCCCTCTCTGTCTGCCCCTCCCCCACTTGTGCTTTGTCTCTCTCTCTCTTAAACATAAATAGAACAAACAAAAAATATTTTAAAAAATTACACTCCTATTATCGCTGATGATAACTTTATCAGTAAGGAAGGATCAAGACAAAGTTTTTTGCCTCCTCTGTGCTCAGTGACTGCTCAGAGGGAAGGGGACCAATATGACTTGATGCTTGGGGAGACAGGGAGCCCCTGGGGGGGTGAACAGCCCCCCAGTGAAAGTATCATAACAGTGTATATCCTGGGTCTCTGTTCTTTCTCGTCTCTGCTCTTTCCAATATGAAGATCATTCCAAAGAGAATATTATCCAGCAAAGAGAAGTGGAGCAAATGGCAGTTTTCCAAGTGATGATATAAAATATTTGTTTTATCTGTTACATAGTCTGTGTTAGTAAATATGAAAAATGTGTCTCCCTTGTCAATTTCCTTGATGATGGTGCTAATGACGATGGTCTTTTTCCTGCATTTTCTCTCCTACCTTTTTCTGTTTTTTTCTCTTTTCTTCTTCCTTCTCTTCCTCCTCCAAAAGTTAACTCCTATTTCAACAATGCCTTTCAACAATTGATTCCATTAAGTCACAATTCCTGGTTCATATTTGGTCACATTTTGTATAAATTTTTACTGACACACATAATGATTTCTTATAAATCACTTGATGTTTTCAGACAAGTTGACTTTTGCTAAATTGAATGGCTAGCTTTTAAATATTTAGTCGTTTATTACAAATAGATACTAGCTTTCTTTGCCAGAGCCCTGGGCCTGGGAGAATTGTTAATAAATGGAAATGTAAATAAGGGCTTATGCTATAAATTACCAATTTAGCTCTTCTGAAAGTCATCCATGTCAAACTGAATTCCACAACTACATAATTCATGTTGCTAGCTTGTCTTATTTATTCCATAGTATTGTGAAGTTACTAATAAATGACTTCATTGTTCTAAGCACAAAGATAGGATAGATTATATATACGACATTCATTCATAATTTGGTGATCTGCCTCTGGTAAGATCATCTCACCATCATTGTACCTTTGTACCCAAATGTATTGAAACTTGCTTTAAATTTTTTTTTTTACTGTTTATTTATTTTTGAAGGAGAGCGAGCGAGAGCATGAGTGGGGGAGGGGCAGAGAGAGAGGGAGACAGAATCGAAAGCAGGCTCTAGGCTCTGAGCTGTCAGCACAGAGCCTGACTGATGTGGGGCTCGACCTCACGATATGGGAGATCATGACCTGAGCCGAAGTCAGAAGCCTGGCCGATTGAGCCACCCAGGAGCCCCTGAAAGTAGCCTTTAGAATACTTTGCAACCATGGTCATAAAAAAAGATTTTCTTCTGATGCTTACGTTTGTTGTGTTCCCCTTGTCCAGACGTGGATGTCATCGAGTGCTCCTTGCAGTTCCCGGACGATGACTACTCCTGGTGGGACCTCTTCATGAAACTCTGTGTCTTCGTCTTTGCCTTTGTGATCCCTGTCCTCATTATCATTGTCTGCTACACCCTGATGATCCTGCGCCTAAAGAGCGTCCGACTCCTTTCTGGCTCCCGAGAGAAAGATCGCACCCTCCGTCGGATCACCAGGCTGGTGTTGGTGGTGGTGGCCGTCTTCATTATCTGCTGGACGCCCATTCATATCTTCATCCTTGTAGAGGCTCTGGGGAGCGCCTCTCACAGCACAGCCGCCCTCTCCAGCTATTACTTCTGCATTGCCTTGGGCTACACCAACAGCAGCCTGAACCCCATCCTCTATGCCTTTCTTGATGAAAACTTCAAGCGGTGCTTTAGGGACTTCTGCTTCCCAATGAAGATGAGGATGGAGCGACAGACAACCAGTAGAGTCAGAAACACGGTTCAGGATCCTGCTTACATGAGGGATGTCGGCGGGATAAATAAGCCAGTATGACTAGTTGTGGAGATGTCTGCTTATAGTTCTTCAGGAAGAGAAGAGTTTAACGACCTAGGGTCAACTCAGATTAGTACCGAAGTCTGAGACGGAAAGGTAGAATTCTTAACAAACTTTTAGAAATCTCATGGTCTGAAGTCAATAGATGTGGGCTGGGTTGGCAGCCCAGGTCAGTGGAGACAGCAAGGTGGTAGGGACGGAGTGGTGAAGATTTGAGTAAGAAAGACACTCGCTTTCTAGGGCGAGGAAGCAAGACTGACTCTCAGTTCCTTTGATGAACAAGGAAATAAGTCCTTTTCTTCTGGTCACCCAGCTTTCGTCCAGGACCCATCTGCTGTGGCCTGCCTGTGCAGTGTGGTTCCAACAGCTCTGTTTAGGAAGAAGGACAGGAAAAACATACACTGGCTTCAGAACTTACTGGGCGTCCCGTCCAGATGCTTGCTTTACACTGACGACAACAACCTGAACAAAAGTGAGGACCATTTCTAGGGTGCGTGCCCGGCTCCCTTCATGCTGTGGACACACGCGTTTCGTGTGGCTGCGTGCTGAGGATTCCGGCCTAAGTATGACTGGACCCACGCCCGAGGTGTCTGATGTCCATGTGTAGTAGGAAATTATCCTGCTATGCAGGAAGTTACCTACACGTGCAAAAGGTGGTTTCCAACAGAGTCTCATTTCTTAAAAGCCTTGGTTTGTTTTTCAGCATGCTCTTCAGATAAATCACTTCGTGACAAAGCATGTCTTGACATCAAGAAATATAAAGTGGTTCAAATACCACTGGAACTATATAGAGTTACCTTTGTAAATAATAGTATCTATATGCGAAGAAGCAAGGGGCATGCCCACCAGCCAGGCACTTTCCCAGAACACACTAACAGCTAGTGAGAGCTGACGCCGAGACACTTGGGGACTACATAAGCTTCCCTCTGGGAGTTGGTCAGGCTCCGTCGCTTCCAGACCCCCGAGCACCATTGAGTCCTTCACTGGTCCTCATAACTCATGGGTTAATTATGAAATAGCTCACTCATTCCCAGGTTGTTGACTTGACATGATCTAATTTATATTCATTACCGAATTCTCTCCTGCCATGGAGGGAGGGAGTTTGGCTCCTGTCACTCTCGAGCTAGGATTCTGTGGCTTGTAGCAGGAAGCAGAAATGGTCCTAACTGTGGGCTGAACGAGGACATTCTGTCACCCACGGTGCTTGGACACACCTCGCACCGTGTTCTGCGAAGAGCACACCAGTGGAGGCTAATGCCACGGGCAGCACATTTAGGATAATTTTGCTAAAACTTCCAGATGACATATTAATTCTCCTTTCTTTCCCCCTGAAACTTCTGATTTCAGAGGTAATGGATTTTTCTGTAATTTGTGTAGGCAGAAGGAAGGGATAATTTGGAAATAACACCCATCTCTCCTTTAAGGCTATGCGAGATTAGGGCAGCACTCCCTTGGGAGTTGCTGGGAAACCAAATGTATAGAGGTACACACTCATGGACGCCATTGCATCTGTAATTTCCATTCACGGTGTACTTTCTGTACTCTCTGTCACCTCTGCAAAAGGAGAGGTGTACTCTCTCCTTTTGGAAACAGACTTTGCATTGAGGGTTTTATATTGTGGCTTCAGAAGTTTACTATGATGATATTTGTCTACATTCCTGATTTTCAAAGCACTGAATAGATGACAATACAGAAAGGCAAGTTCTTCCTAATGAACATGAAGTACTCCTTTGAGCATATCATTGACTGTCTCAGGCGTCCTTGTATTCTTATAACAGAGTGTGGACAGGAATGGCTTACATGTTGATTGGCATTCACCCCATGGTTAAAAATCCTGACTCTCATATGGAGGGGATATTCATACAGAGAGTAGTTCTGGGAACCGGCCCTCCTGATGTGAGAAATATAAAAATCTCTTTGTGGAACACTAAGACCCAGGAGACTTTCTTGAAGGATTCTTACGCAGTCCAAAAATAGAACAGAGATACAATCAAGGGATGAAATTACAGTAATGGATTTTCTTTCAATTAGCACCCCATGTGCCCTTATGGTATCTATTGCCATTATTGGATTCTGAATTTTAGCCAGATTATCCTGCAGGTCTTTGTATTTAAGTTTGCAGCCCAAGAGAGAGAAATAGCTCTAAGTGCCCACAAGGGGCGTACAAGTTTCTCTATTATTGTGGGCACCAATTTCCCCAAACTGGAAGGGGAGAGAGAGTGGCTTGTCATTACAGGGCACTACATTAAAGGATGAAAAAGTGAGTCATATGTATTACACAAAAGTATTTGTCAAAAGCGTGTATGTGTGCACACATGTGCATGCATGTGTGAGTAACTGTGTGGGCGCATGTGTCTTTGTGTACCTAAGTATGTGTGTGTGCATGATAGGGTGCACATGCATATGTGAAAGTGTGAATACCTGTCTTTCTGTGTGTGCCCGCCTGCATGTGTCTGGGAATACATGTGTGTGCATGTATGTGAGTGTGTATACATGTTTGTGTAATTGAGTGTATGGGTATATATGTTTGTGTATGTATGCATGTGTTTGTGTGTGTGTGTCTATACGAGTATATATATGTTAGTGTGTGTATACGATCATGCGTGCGTATATGTGTGTGCACATACATGTACGCATGCGTGGGTGTAATAATGTATGCTTGTGTCCTGCTCTCCCATCGCAGTAGGAGGGCACATCGTCTGCTGTGTCTGTTTGAGACCAGAACTGTGTGTATCTCATCTTGAGATCAACTCTCCATAAACTCCTTCATCTTCCCACCCTGGTGACTTCTGGAAGATAAAATCTAGTGAGCGTTCATAAAAAAAAAAAAGAGAGAGAGAGAAATGGAACAGCCCTGCAGGATGCAGCAATGAGGATGAAAATGTAAAATTCCAACCGGAAGGAGACAGGAGCCGCCATTAGAGTCTCAGAAATACTCCAGATCTAAGAGCTCCCCAGTGCAGAGAACAATCAGTCAAAACTCAAAGCATAATACTAAAACAGAAGCAGTCTGGAAAGGCAGTTTTGAAAAACGTGAAGGAACATTCACATAAATCTTAAGAACATTGTTCCATTCTGTGATGAATTACTGAGAAACACAAGTTCTTAAATCTGTAGAACCATTATAAGAAAATTTATAGATGTTTCATCTAATATTGGGACATATGAAGATAAATAGATGGAATAAAAGGAATACATTGGAGAGTGCCTGGCTGGCTCAGTCAGCGAAGTGTCAGGCTCTTGATTTCGGCTCAGGTCATGATCTCACAGTTTGTGGGTTTGAGCCTTGTATTGGGCTCTGTGCTGACAGTGCATAGCCTGCTTAGGGTTCTCTCCCTCCCTCTCCCTCTGCCCTTCCCCTGCTTGTGTTTTCTCTCCCTGTCTCTCTCAAAAGAAATAAACATAAAAAGAAAGGAATACATTGGCTTTAAATTAGACCTTTATAAGGAGAAAACTATGACAAGGCTGTATGTCCATCTAGTGAGATTTATTTTCTAAACAAGAGCTGCTTGGGAGATGCAGCATAAATGTGAAAAGCCCATCCCTCGAGGACATGAGCCTCCTTGCCCTAAGGCAGTTTTCTTCTCTGAAACAAGAGTATACTCCTATATTCTTTACTGTATATTATTTATATCTTGCGCTTTAGGAAGGTGATAAGTATGCCTTGTATATACGATTGTGTGCCTTGTGATAAAATAAAAATTGCACCTGCTCAAAACACAGTGGTCAATTACTGTGATATATCATTTATTCTTCAATGGCTTTGATGATGCTACACTTCAGCAGAACACCGTTAACTATTTCTCACAACTAAAAACAGTCGCCTTGATTTTCCATCCAGGACAATGTCGTGGATAGTTGATAGAAAGGAACAAAACCTAAGAATCTAAACCGCGACCTTAAATTTCAAAACCTATCAATCACTTAGGAAAATTTACGTCTTTATGCAGTAATGCCGTCAAGATTCTAGAATCAGTGGGGGCGCCTGGGTGGCTCAGTCGGTTAAGCGTCCGACTTTCGCTTAGGTCATGATCTCACGGTTCGTGGGTTCGAGCCCCGCGTCGGGCTCTGTGCTGACAGCCAGCTCAGAGCCTGGAGCCTGCTTCAGATCCTGTATCTCCCTCTCTCTCTGACCCTCCCCCTGCTCACACCGTCTCTCTCTCAGAAATAAATAAAACATTTTAAAAAATTTTTAAAAAAAGATTCTAGAATCAGTGTCACACATGGCCTTCCCTAGGGAAAACCACTTTTTCATTATGGAAAATATTCTAAATGAGACTCTCCTGTCAGTAAAAAAGAAATTAAACTCTCCTGCCTTGCTTCCAATACAGTATAGCTTCACTACTGTCATGAATTACCTGTTTCTAAACCTCATGGTATTTGTACGCAGAAACAAAGAGGTGTGTGTGTGTGTGTGTGTGTGTGTGTGTGTGTGTGTGTGTGTGTATGTAGAAACACACTTAGGGAAGGGAGGTTAAAGAAAAGGATGCCTCTAGCTGGTCGAGGAGATCACACTAGCAGATCCTATTTTCATTTAAAATAGCCCATTTCTTTCTAGTCTTTATCTTTGATTGATAACTCAATTTCCTTGGGGATTGGGGCTCAAATGGCCTACAAGCTGGACAGTACGGCAAACTTGATATGCCATAAGCTTTAGGCATCATGGTACCTTCTCTCTGTAATTGATTTGCTGCATGATACATTCCTATGGCTAGTCTCTAGGTTTGTGGAAACTAGGGATAACAACACGAAACAAACAAATCTTAAAAATGCTTTCAAAAGCTGTTGCTTGAGAGAGTGTTCCCATTTATGTTAGGAAGTAGGCCAGATTCCACATAGGTATACAAAACAGATGCACCTTCGATACTTACAGCCTAAGGCAAAGAAGCAATTAAGGAAATAATTACAATGTATTGCCATGAGAAGACAAATTAGTGAATGCAACCTTTTCTAAAAGGTTTTTTACATAGACATACTTTTTTCTTTTTGTTTTTATCTTT